GTGATCCTTCCCCTCTGCTCAGCACTGGTGAGGCCACACAGCTGGCATGCTGGGTCCAGTTCTGAGCTCCCCGCTGCAAGAGAGACGTTGACATACTGGAGAGAGCCCAGTGAAGGGCCATAAAAATGGTGAAGGGACTGGAGCATCTCTCCTATGAGGAAAGGCTGAGAGAGCTGGGACTGCTCAGCCTGGAGAAGAGAAGGCGCAGGGGGATCTTATTAATGTCCATAAATACCTGAAGGGAAGGTGGAAAGAGAACAGAACCAGGCTCTTGTCAGTGGTGCCCAGTGACAGAGGCAACGGACACAACCCAAAACACAGGAGGTTCCCCTGAACATCAGGGAACAGTGGTTTTGGTGTGTTTTGTTTTTTTTTTTTTTTCTTACTGTGCGGATGACCGAGCACTGGCACAGGTTGCTCAGGGAGGCTGTGGACTCTCCATCCCTGGAGATATTCAGAAGCTGTCGGGACATGGTCCTGAGCAACTGGCTGTGGGTGTCACGGCTTGAGCAGGGGCTTTGGCCCAGATGACCTCCAGAGGTCCCTTCCAACCTCAACCATTCTGTGATTGCCATGTCAAATGATGGGGAAGAAAACTAATTAAAGTTTGGCCTAATTAAGAAATTCTTTATTACATCATACAAATGTAGATTACATGGGGCTATGTTAATTTAACTTATTCTTTCTTTATTCTGTTCGTACTTCTAATTCTGGCAGAATGAGTTGATGGAGATCTTACTCTGTTCCTGTCAGGTCTATCAAAAGTCAGTTAACTTGTTCTCAAAATTTGCCTTGCTGGCTTTATAATATTACTGCTAGTTTTTATCCTACTGACTTCAACTGCTTTCTCATTAATTAGGGCTCAAATTGTCGAATGCAGTAAATGCTTTTTCTTTGCCTGCCCAACCTGACTTTATTGTGTACTGAAAGAAAACTACCCTGCCTGAGTTTGTTTTGGTAAAGGTGCCTTGAAGTGTTCTGTGTGTTTCAGGTGCTCTTGGAATTTCAAATGTGATGAAGCAGTTGTGGAAAAACAGCATCCTACTTAAAGCATATAATCCCAATAGTTTTTGAAGCTAACACTGTAACTTACACATTTTAAGGAGTTTGGATTCTTTTTTGCCAATCTGTGTACTTTTTTATGTGGACTTAAATTGTTTCAGATGTGGCTGAATGTATCACTTTATTGTGCTGGTGTACAGCTGAAATAAACTTTAGTTCCAAGCATGAAATAGTGCTTTCTGGCAGAGTCAGCTTAGGCATTAGTTTTTATAACAGCTACAGTTCAATGTCTTAAATCAAAGAGAACAATATACTTAACACAAGCTGATCATATAAAATGCTGTTGAATTTGTTTAATAATGCATGCTCATTTTTGCACAACTCTACAAGTTATCTGCCTTCTAATTATCAAAGATTTTGTGCAACTTAATAAAATGATAATTTCTTACCCAATTTTAGGTAGAGGTGATATTCTATGACTGTGTCTGTGTGTACATTATGACAGCCTTACTGATTTTGAATGGAGCGTCTTGATAACCAAACCTGTCCACTTCTCTTAAGTTCTTTATGTTCACTCTGTACTGCCAACAACTAGAGATACTGACAGTGGTCTCTCACCTTTCCCAGGGGTACTGCAGGCTGAGGAGGTTTGTCTAAGATCTTCCTTCCCACTATAGAAAGGCATATTCACGTCGTTGTTTTTTCCCTTATGTTTACCATCCCAGGCGGTAGAAGGATGACTTTTGGAGCTGAGGAACTGAAGGAGACCTGAATTTGAAGAGAAAATGAGACCACTGATCAAAAAGATCTCTGTGCAGGTCCTACGTGTCCAGTAATACATAGTATTTTGGTTTTACTGCAGTGTAAGTGGCAAGCTTATGGCAAGCTGGGAAACTTGGCACTGTGTTTCAACAGTGGAAACTGGCTCTGCAGAATCTGTGTCGTTTCTTCCTGCCCACTAGTTGATGTAGTCTGAGGTGTGTAGTTTCCAGAGGCAACCCTGCCATTAATGTTGCGGTGACTGCAGTGTAAGGTTGCCAGAATAGAAATTCAGTACATAATGTTTTTGGAGATCTCTAGTATTTCTGAGTGTGATTAGGCAGATGTCTGTCACTCCTTTCTAAGGCCCTAGTGAGTAAAAAAGACAGGAAAAATCTCAGCATGGATTGTCATTGCTCCATTCAAAACAGCTGGAATAACCTGGCACTCTGACAACTTTTATTCTAGGAAGATGCTGTAATTGGTGTCTTGAATTGACACTACTAAGTGGATTGCTGAACTCCCTGTCCCCTTTAAAGTAGCTCTGACTCCCCGAGGTTGTTACACTGAAATTACAGGTTTATAAAGCAATGATCTTTTGTCATTAGACATCATAGTTACATCAGTATAACTTGAGGATTTTATTAGTTAAAGTACCGCTGCTTCTGAAAACCCTAGTTGCAGATCCAGAAGTCCATTGTCTTAAGTTGTACAAATATAAGATAAAAGATAGTCTTAAGAAGTTTAGAATGCAAGTATTGAGCAAAAACCAGTAGATGAGTGTTCAAGAGGTATTTTGTGTGGTGGGTACGGTTAGACATGAGCCTGAGTTTAAGTGCTCAAATAAAAACCAGCTTTGGCTTGGGTGTCATGCAAGCAGCGAAGTGCTCTTTTTGAGAGTATAACGCTGTCCTACTGTAGCTGTATGTTTTCTGAGGTGAAGCTGGCATGTGTTTGTCCCCCTTGGTACACATGCAGAATGTCCGTATCCGTCTTGGCCTGTTCTTTTCCTTGTTTAGATGTGATCTGTGAGGCATGGCCTGAAATGTTTCTTCTTACTGGTTCTCCCTCTTCCACCCTGACTTCTTTTATTTTTTCTTAAGGAACTGTCATGATCTAGGCTTTTGCGCTCAGGCTGTTAGTGCCAGCTTGTACTTTATTTCCCCACTCCCCCAAGGGTAACGGTATTTATGCTTGTGTGAACGGAAACTGCAGAATCCTCTTCTGCTGTTGCATGGTTTCTTTTTTGAAAGATATGTCACGCTAATTTAGATCGTGCAGCTCCTTTGAATGGTAATAGATATTTTTTTCTGATTTACTATCTTTGTGTCTGCTCCTGCCTGTCAATGCTCAGATCAGTGCTGTCTGTCGGTATGCCATTAAACTACCAAAATAGCTGGGTTCTGCAGGAACAGTGAAATTTAGTTGTCTTTTGCTTTTGTGCACCAGTTTGTTACCAGCTATTTATTAAATCTGATGGTTGTAAGTCTCAAGGAGCTTTATACAGATTATTTTTTTTTTTTTCCCTTTAAAGCTTTTAGAAAGCAGGTGAAAGGTAAAGCTGTCAGAAGGGTGCTCCAAACCTTGAAAAAGATTTCGGTCCACTCTGAAAGAAATGTCTGATACTAAAAAATGTCCTTGAATTAAAGGCTCTTTTTTGGGAAGTATTCAGGAAATGCAGAGGAGGTCACTGCATTCATTTGCCTGGGGAACAAAAACAGATTATTTTTTTTTTTAATTGTCTCTAGTGATAGAAGTGACAATAAATATCAGAATAATTTGAAGAGTATTTTGAATCCTGGCTCATTATTATGCATAGAAGGCAGGCATAAGGGGACCTTTCATGTCTCAAAAGAAACAGAACATTTTATTTTTTTAAAGTTTATAAAAATTTAACATCAGTTTATAAATTCACTGCTTCTTTGGCTTGAAATAAGCTATTTTTGAATAGTATAGCTCCTTTTCTTCATGACTGTGCCTTTCAAAATGAGCCTCTGAACTGATCTTTTTTTCCTTTGAGCAGAATTTCCTTAGTATTAGTAGTTGAGAAGATTGAGAAGCAGAGCTCCTCAGGTTGTCTGGAGTTGCAATTAAAAAAAAAAAAAAAAAAGGCAACCCAGACCTTGAAATCCAGATCCAACGTAGTCTGTGCTGTTGGGCACTGCAGAGGCAACGCCTAGGTGGCTATTAGTAAAACTCCTAGAACAGCTTCCTCAAAAATGTTTGTGTAGCTTGAAAAAATAGATGTTTGGTCTGTTCTGGGTGTATCACCAGTCTTAGATTTAGAGGAGTATTCGGCTGCTTGATTTTAGTTCATCTTGCGGTATGGGTGATGGGAGTTATTTTTGGATCATGCTTTATAAGTAAATGCAACTGGATCCTGCAAGAGCCATGAAGAGGCAAGTGGCAGGAAACTTTGAAGTAGTTTTGTAAGTCTTCCTCTTGGGGGCTCTGTCAAATTTGCTTGAATTGAGAGGGTGACTATTTCGCTCACTGTATAAAGCCAAATTAGCAATGAAGTTTCAGACAAGTAGTACCACTTCCTATTTCCTCAGAAGACTATATGGTTGAATGTAAACCTCGCTCACGTGTATCGTCATCTACATCTCAGTATTCTGGTTCTCAGTAATTCCTGTTTTAGTCCTTTATTGATTTGTATCTTGGTGTTTTTTGTCAAGACTCTGTTTAGCACACTCTCAAAATCAAGGATTTGGAATGAGAGAGTTGTAGAAACAAAGACATTGATCAGATAGTGAGCCCTCTAGTGTAGTAGCATGTTTGATAATTGCCAGTACCGTTTCCTTCAGAGTAGTCCAGACACCTCTGTGGAACAAGGTATTCGTAAAAGAATTGGCTTCCTTGGTCTCGTGTACTTAGTGGCTTGTTGTACTTTACCACTTGTTCATATCATGTATATTTTTCATCCAATTTAATCTAAGTTTGCTTTCTTTGTGGTTCTTTTAATGGAAAGGTAGTTGTCATGTTTTCAATACTAGTGAAAATTATTTTGTAGTGATTTAATCTGTAAGTTTTAAAGAATGATAAAGAAGGTTCTTAAGTTAATGTACATGTGAAATATTATTGAATAAATTCCGTGTTCATATGAAATTCCATTTTCTAAGTTACATTCTTTTAGTGCCTTTGCAGTCTTGCTTTCAGATGACACAAGCATAAGGGAGATTAACACAGCTCAGAACACTGAGCCTTACTTGCTTTTTGTGCTGTTACTGTATGGCATCATGTGGAAGAGATCTCTCTTTGAAGATATGCTTTTGCAGCTTGACATTGAAATTATGCCTCTTGTCCGATCCAGTCTTAGAGGCAATTCCTATCCTGATGGTTCAACATAAACACAGTTTAGAGAATACATTGAATACTAAATGCAGCAACTACAACTTCTTTTCTGTGATCAGTTGGAGTATATGCATAAGCAGAGTATCATCTCTCTTGCCTATTTTGAGTTTAAAAGATGAGGTTGATGTCTGTTTCTGTCAAGTCTATAGGAGCTCAGAAGCACAACAGAAGTTGAAATCTGGAGAGCAATTAGTATGTTTCAGTATCACAGTGTTTTCTTTCTTTAAACATTTGAACAAGTTCCGCAGTATATGTTGCTTCTATTCCTCAGGAAAAATCCAGCAAAATTTTCTTTTGCATAGGACCATTACCTTCTAGGTATTTAAAATGTTAGAAATTATATGGTAAAACTAGCGTATATCTATATCAACAATTTTTTGCACCAGCAGCTTGAGTCTGTCATACTATTTAAGTTATTTGTTCATTGCTGTAATGTACATTATTGTAACTAAAGTGATAGCGTGCTTTGCATGTAACAGTATATGTGCTTAACAGATACATGATTTAACCTGCTTTTAGAAGTTTGTTGCCATCAAGTAATATTTTAAGAGTAATTTGTCCTGTATAAAAAGATTTATTTTCCAGAGATACATGCATATTTAAAAAAATCAACTCTTTTTCAGGTCCCTTTACAGATGTAGTAACTACAAATCTTAAACTACGAAATCCATCAGATAGAAAAGTATGCTTCAAAGTGAAGACCACAGCGCCTCGTCGATACTGTGTGAGGCCGAACAGTGGAATTATTGACCCAGGATCGTCTGTAATTGTTTCAGGTAAAGCAAGTATATGCAGTTCTAGGTTAGATGTTTTTAGGCCTTTCATGAAGTTTTCTAATGCTTGATCTTAGAGGCTATTTGAAGCATGTAATCTTTTTAAAAGCATTTCTAAAAAATAAAACTGTTCCTCTTCATTACTGCAATGCCAACTTGATGTAGAGCTGCAATGATATGTGAAAAATCCACCATACAGAAATGCTTGCCATTTGTCCCATTTATCTTCCTCTGAAAGGAGGAAAAGAAATTTGGAAATGGGCAATGACATTAAAGAGTACCTTTCCTTCAGACTACTATATTCATGCTTATATCTTGAAGTAGGGCATTGGTTGGCTGGTCTGATGTCTTTAAAGTTTAACATTTGACAGTTCATTGCATTTAAAAAAAATAAAATCATTCATTTACAATTGTAGGCTGGTTGTTTTGACTGTAGTATTGGTCCCCCAACTCTATGGTTTTGTAATTCTTCCGTTTATCCCAGTAGTACATGTTAAGTGGCAATCATTAAATAGGTGGAGCAGTTTGTAGCCTTTAAATTTGAAAAATCTAGGAGGTTTCACTATAGAAGACTCTTTCCTTACTCTGTTTTTTGCATGAGGGGATTAAAAAAAGAATCCTTACTTTTCAGCAGAGTGCGAGCCCTGAAGACAGACAGTATTTTCTTTTTTTTTTTTCCCTGTGAAACTCCATGTAGGTTTGGCTTACATGTTTCGTTCTGACAGTCTGAAGAATTTTGATAGCTGGATGTGTAATGATCTAATCCTATACTGGACTGGACAATGTCAAAAAGACCAGATGTTAGTAATCGTGGGAGTAGACATTCTCAGGACAATGGGAAAAGACTAGGTATCAGTCTTTTGATTTGGTAAATGATTTTTGTAGGTCATTCTGCTGATCATTTTGAGGTAGGAATCTGCAGAATAAAGGGGATTCTCAAATCGGTGATTGTAAGAGGTGAGAAACTTTATTTCTCTGGACTTACCATATTTTCTGACTTGGAGAGAGGGGAATACCCTTTTTATAGGTTGTGGTCTTATAGGTTGTAGAGATCACAGGCAATACAGGTGTGAGCTCCTAGATCTCCTAAGTCTAGAAAGCTGATTTTTGTAGGACCCTTTGAGAGCTGTAGCAAAGCAAAAGGGAGACGTAGAACAATCCTCAGAGCTTTTCAGATGCATATTCTTAAACCCTTTGGGAAGTTTAAAAGAAGCTGGAGAAGTAGCTTCAAGTGGTACGTTCAGATATTGCGAGAAGTAACTCAGGAAAACTTTGATTGATTAAAACCTTAGAGTAACTTTCCTTGTAGGAGAGAGATCAGTTTTCTAATGTAATATGATCTGTAGGATGTGACCCTTTAAAACTTCAGTATTGCTTATCATGGACTGTCTAGCATCTTGTGGATGAAAGATCATTTTACTGAGAACTGGTTCAAGATTCAAGTTGTCAAAAGGCTACTTAATTTCTGTCTTTGGCTTTTACTTAGCCATTTTGCCTTAACTGTGTGTTTAATCTGGTTATTGGGCATCTTTCCCATGGGTAGTCATACATCACAATCAAGATACTGCTGGACTTTCTCTTCAGGGAATTGAATAGATTGAAGTATTCCGTTTGCCTATTGTAAAATGTGCTTTCATAGTTACAAATAATCCTTTTAATGCTTTTAATATTTCAGTTTTTTGAATGAGGCAATACTGGAGTTGTAAACAATATTTCAGCTTCAGGTTCACCAATAAAGGGAAACAGTATCATATCGCTCAACTCTTCAGTTCCCTTAGCAGGGAATCTGTGATATCCCTTTTTCTGCATTTCTGGATTTTTGTGCCGTTATTCAGCTATAGTCACCCCAAGCTGCTTTCATGTGCAGTTGTTAAGTTACAGTGACTCCACAATGCTTTTCAGAATTATTTTTCCCCCAAGCGTCGGCTTCATCTTTTTGTTTTCAAGCATATAATTTCTTTTGGGTCACTTGGTAAGCCAAGTGCACAGATAATTTTTCTAGTGACCCACTTTGTTATCTCTTAAATCTCTCAACTGAATGTTTTCAGTGCTGACTCATCTTTCATATAATTAAAAATAGATTTCTCTCACATTGTTGTGCAGCGAGAAATCACTATAGGATACCATGGACTGAAACTCTGTGTTCAAAACTAAACGTTGAGATAGTGTTAGCTGTCTTCAGCCTGTGTAATGCATCATATGCTTTTCAGAGTCAAGGCCGTTTTTAAATTCATTGTTGGAGTTGTGAGTTAACAGTGATTTTTAAGGAATTCCATGGGCATTTTGTTTATCATTCAGTTGTGAATTACTAGGTAACCTTCTTCAGCCATGTTTATACATTTTTTCCAAAAATACATATTTGGTAAGACTTGTTTCTCTTTACCTTGATGCCCTAAATTAACTATTTATTATCGTATCATGTATTGTTGATTTTTCTTTTCAGAATGTTGCGTGTTACTCCTCTTGTTACTGTTGCTTGTTACTGTTCTTCCTTCTGGTTTTCAGACCCCTTTAAGATTTATTTTGTGGAGATAAAGCCCTCCTCTGTAGAAAACCTAGGCCTATTAACAAGAGGCTTGCTTTCATAACTATTGCGATTCCCCTAGAAGTGATCTCTGGACTACTCGGGGATTCCAAGAACATGTTGAAAACTGTGGCTTCATATATTCAGGGGATTTTCCATGATTACTTAAAACCATGAAGGGTTTGAAGAGCTCTTTGAAATCGTGGACTGTCTTTTTCTGCTGCTTTTCAGTTCTATCAGATTTTCAGCTATTACCGAGTGGTCAAAGAACATAAAGTTATTTAACTAGTTATCCAAGGATTCTGCCAGCATATGAAGAAGTTCTCTGATGATGGAAAGCTGGCTTTCATCTTTTAAGTTACTCCATCTGTTCCCTTGGCTCTAGGAAACTGAAGTACTGAATGCTATTCAGTAGTCTGTTGATGGAACAATTCTTAGAGATAAATTGCTATAGCATCCATACCTGGAGGAAGCATTTGGTTTGATCAGTTATGTTTTGGACCACAGTGAGACCAATGATTAAAGAAACCTGACTGTTAAACCTTTTCAAATAGGGTTGTTTGAAAGCGGGTCCAATGCTGCATGTCCTTTATGTGCTTTATTTGTGAAAATATCTGATTCAGATTATTCACTTATCCTTTGATTATGCTGTATGTAACATTTAAAGGGGGGGAGGAGGGGGGGAGATAACCATCCTGTAGCAAACACCTGCAACTAACTTGTAACTAGTATTTAAGGCCTAAAGTTAGGTGGCAGTGTAATTAAATTTAGAAGTAAATTTTTTCATAGGTACAAGGGAATTTGGAAAGGACAAGTTAGTAATTGTGATACTGTACTTAATATTTTATAAACTAATGCAGTTCAGACCTATCATGAAGAATTTACTTTCACTGTGAAGGGAGGTATGTTGAACTACACATCCAATGAAGATTCAGAATTGTAGAAAATATAATTGAATTGATGAAAACTGTAGCAGTATCAAAGTCTACTGTCTGAATTGGTTTAGAATATATGGGAAGGTTGTTAAGAGCATACAATGTGTTTTTCTAGCTAAATTAGTATTTCTGCCATAGTTTTTTCATTGCTGTAAAATAGGTAAATATACAGATACCTGTTTATAGGACTCGGTAAATGTAATTCTTGTGGGTTTTTTTTTTTTTGATATCTTTATCTGAATCTACTTCAGCTTCTCTTTTAATTTTGTATAAAAATATACTGAACTGGAATTTGCATTCTGTGGAAGACAAGTGTATGTACACTGTCCAATAAGTTATCTCTACAGTTCACTCAGAGTCCTCATCCTCTGGTAGAACAAGTTGCAAGTGTACCCACTGTCATGGTTTATTCCCAGCCAGCAACTAGGACCACACAGCCATTCACTCACTCTCCCCAGTTGGGATAAGGGAGAAAATCAAAAGAGTAAAGATGAGAAAAAAACATATGGGTTGAGGTAAAGATGGTTTAATGGGTAGAGCCAAAGCTGTGCACACAAGCAAAGCAAGGAATTCATTCACTGCTTCCCATCAGCAGACAGGTGTTCAGCCGTTTCCCGGAAAGCAGGGCTTCATGATGCATAACGGTTACTTGGGAAGGCAAATGCCATCACTGAATGTCCCCCCCTTCCTTCTTCCCACAGCTTTATATCCTGAGCATGATGTCATATGGTATGGAATAGCCCTTTGACCAGTTGGGGTCAGCTGTCTTGGCTGTGTCTCCTCCCAATTTTTTGTGCACTCCCAGTCTACTTGCTGGCAGGGAGGTATGAGGAGCAGAAAAGGCCTTGTCTGTTTAGCAACAACCAAAAGCACCAGTGTGCCATCAACACCACTCTCATCCTGAATCCAAAACATAGCCCCACACCAGCTGCTAGCAAGAAAGTTAACTCTATCCCAGCTGAAACCATGACACCCCCCCACACATATATTTAAATATAATTTGTGTAGTCCTGTATTCCCATCTGGAGTAGGGCAAGTAATTGTCTCTGAAAGGAGACAAGGGGGAAAACATGATAGTTTGTTTCAGGGTCTGCTCCAGACAGACAGTATGCTTGGAAATAGACTCTGCTCGTTGTGTATCCATCCTTCTGCTTCAGTAGTTCCCCAACACTACCATAACAAACCTTGCGTATTTGGGTATTTCTCCAAACCTTTACATTATGCCCCTAGATATGCAACTATTTCCTATGAAAGTTCTAATCTCTTGGTCTGTATTACAGACATCATGTTATTTTAGTCCCTTTGAACTAAAGAAACCACACAGAAAATAGTGATGCCAGGGTGACGTGGATAACCACTATATGGTATAAAAACATACAGTCTGCTCCTGGATGGCTTTGTACAACTTGGATGGGTGAAGGTACTGTGCTTCTGTAGTTAAAGCTTTCAGTTAAAAGTACTGTGCTGTAGAAATAATGGAAGCTATAAATACCATCAATGATGTAATTTTTTTTGCTGAGCTTGTGCAAACTTCAAAATAGTAACTTCAGAAACATGAGTTTCTGTTCTTGACCAACAGAGATTTCAACTTTGGAAAGCTGAAAGTGCAGTAAAAAGGCTGTCATGCAGAAAGTCTGAACTGCTTGCATGCTCTGCCTCTGGTACTTGTAGCACAAACTATGCTGTGTCAAAAATGTCTGGTTTCATCCAGAAGGTGGTTGGTGTTTGTTTTTTTTTTTTAATATCTGCATTACCATATGTTGAAAGCTGAAAATGCAGCAAGAAAATGCATAAGATAAAATGCAATCAGTGGGTATTATGAGTTTTATTTTAGTGTTTCACTTAAAGCTGCCTTTACAGGGAATTTGATTTTGAATCCTGTCCCTTTCTGTGCTGGTAAAATGCAGCGGAGGCCCAAAACTTGTCATAGAATTAAACTGTGTACCTGGATTTTGGAGTACTTTTGGACAAATGTTGACTGTTAGACTGGACTTACGGTTAAGAACATTAAAAACTGAGTAAAATGTGTTATGTAGTTATTACATAACTGTTCACTATAAGTATACATATTTTTTTTTAACAAGCCCAAATTGAAAGTGTAACTGTAGTGTGAATGAAGTATTTTAGTAGTTTTGCTCCCAGCTTAGGTTAATATACTTTTAAAATTCAATTTAACTTGCCCCACTGCTTCGTAGTCTGCCTAGTGTAGGTTTTCTCTTTTTTTTTTTTTTTCTTTCTTCCCCTGAGTAACTATCATAATTTGTGCTACAATTCTTTAACTTTGCATTCACTTAATCATATAATGTGTTTATTTCAAAGAAAAATCCTGCAGTGTTTGCTTGAAGGTTTTTTTTGGTGTGGTACAGGATCTGTTTGTTCATACTTGTATATGAATTGTCTTTTAGCTATAGTAATTACAGAATCACGTCAGCTACGGCAGACTGAAAAACTTTTAAGATCTCTCCTCTCGGTACCTGTTGCTACAGTGTATATCTGCTCTATTTTCAATGCTGTCTTTATATTTTTAACTTTCAGTGTCTGTTCAGGTAGAAGCGAATCGAAAGTGGATAGCATACTTGTTACAGTGATTAGCTGAAGAATCACAGTTTTATGCTTTATCTTTTCTTTTGAACAGTAATGCTGCAGCCTTTTGACTATGACCCAAATGAGAAGAGTAAACACAAGTTTATGGTACAAACAACCTATGCACCACCAAATATTTCAGATATGGAGGCAGTGGTAAGTAAAAATTGGGTAAAATGACTGTTGTATTTTTTTCCTTAAAAATTCAGGCTTAAGTGTAAATGAATTGTGGTTTTGCATTTTTTTTTTTTTTTTGAGAAGAATTGGGTTTTCTCTGAACAAGTATGACATCCATACGTGATTCAGGGTTTTTAATACTAAATGCAAGGTCAGGTCTTAGAACTCACCTAGTGAAATGGTTGAATGGAAGTAGTAGTGAGTCTAATGTAAGGTCAGTTCAGTGTTAAAATATGGGCATGTTGTACCTTATATGCAGCTAATTAAAGGGGGTAAACAGATTGTATTTGAAGGAATCAAGATTATATTTAAACAACAAGCCTGAAGCTGTATGAAATGGGTACATTTGGTCTGAAAAGTGTTTAAATTGAATGTTGAATGGGATTATTGTGAATTAAAATATTTGGAAGACTAAGATATGTGTCTCCACAAGATACCAAGTGGCTAAAGACAGCACAAATTACAGATTTATTTTCTGTTTTAATAGAACATGTAGATTCCGTTCTTAGGCAGGACTGGTCTGATGAAAAATCCAGAAAGAAGATATTTAGGTTTGTGCTTGTTAGTTCAGAAGTAAGGACACCTGTTTCTGACATTACAAGCTGGCAGCAGTGGGAAGGAAGCCTTCAGTTGTCAGGACGTGCCCTTTGTATGTGGGCTCCTGTAAGCATGTGTATTAAGGTGGAGGGGAATGATGCACAGCCTTCTGTCTCTAGAGACTGTTTTAAGAAATGCCTGAGTTTACACAGGTATGTTCAATGCTTGCTCAAGAGAGGGGTAACAAAGGATAAAGATGAGGTTTTGTAAATCACTGAAATCCACTAGACCTCTGCAGGTTTGGGCTCTGTCCCTTTTAAATGAAGGCATAGACTACTGTGGCATCACTCTTCACTGGAAACAGTAGAAAACCTTTTAGAATTTGTGAAGCTTTTGAGACATGTAGCTAGAAAGTTAACATCTCTTCCTTGTTAGTCTGGTTTACTTTTTCTTAATATGCTCTGATAGCTCTTCATTATGTGTGGTAAGTGAAGCATACGTATTTGGTGAGGATATAAAAATCCACTTTAGAAATACCTTTTAAATAACGGCTTTCTCAGGGTGTTCAAGTATAGAATACTGAGAAAGAGATCTTGCAGAAAATTGGTAATTCTAGTTATAAGTTACTGTACAACTAATGCCACTGAAAAAAAAGAACAACAAAAAAAAAGGATGTTATAAAAAGCCTGGATATTCTAGTCTGTAAGACCTGCAATTCTAAGGTAACTTCATAGGACCTATTGTTGGAAAAATTGCTGCAGACTTCAGATCAGTCTCTGAGACTAAAGATTTGAGGCAGCTACATGAAGTGAAAGTTAATTGTCAGTGGAGCTGAGAGATTCCAGCATATTTCACAATTATTTAAATATATTAATAACCATTAAAACTTAAAAATGTTTCTTATAAACCGCTTAGAAAAATTTTCTAGGCCCAAATTATAATTTATTATGCAGTAAAAGGAGGAAGTGGTTAAAAATCTAAAATATGAAGAGTTAAAGAAATTTACTCTGGAACTAAATATAGAGTGACTAAAAGGTGTCTTTCAATGTTATGTTTTAAAGTTGGTGCTTACAATATGGGATGTAAGGAGTACATTTATCAAGGAGTGATAAGGCTAGAACTGTGTTCTTAAACCGACTCAGATGGTACTTGGTCCTCATTGTGTGTTAAAGGAACTGCTGTATTGTCCCCTCCCTATCCCCTACAAAGCTCTGGATCCATTCTTGCATTCAGTTTACTCATTTCCATTTTCAGACTTAATTAACCATATCTAACTTTCATTACTTTGCAGTAGTCAAAGTGAACAAAAAACATTATTCAAAAGCAAGTCTGAAGCAGGTAGGGTAAGGACAGTATTCAGCTATGTAGTAGGCAAGTACTAAGTGCAAGCTTACGAACCGTTCAGATGTTTGCATGAGTCTGGCATGTTAAGTAACTGTATTAATTTTTGTCTTAGTGGAAAGAAGCAAAACCTGATGAGTTAATGGACTCCAAATTGAGATGTGTGTTTGAAATGCCCAATGAAAATGATAAACTGGTAAGTAGGAAAAGAGTAAGAAACTGTCATACACTGATTGGTAGGTTCTCATGGAAATTTGTTTTGAAATTTTTTAAACCTATTTGATTTATTGATTAAATGGCTTGTAGGAATTTGTACTAACTTAGACAAGAAGTGTTCAGTGGATAACTTTGCAAGGATTCATAGAATCATAGAACAGCCCAGGTTGAAAGGCACCTTGAAATACCATCTGGTCCAACCATTCATTGGAAAGGGAGCACTCTGTCCAGCTGCATCCTTAAAACCTCCAGCAATGGAAACTAGTGCCAAAAATTACTGTCTTTTTGTTATTTTTATTATTGATTTGCTTTAGGATTTTGTTGTGGTCAGATAAAAAAAGGAGAGAATCTTCAATGCTGCATACATTGAAAAGCTAATTGCATTATTTGCTTTTTAAAGTATTAAATGCTTTTCAGTTTTAAACATTCTGGTTTTAATTCAGCTGGATTAGAAAAGGAAGTACTGATGAGAAGTTAATGCATGCTTTGGGAATCCTAAATGCATTTTTAAGGTAATGGTAAAGACAGATAATCAGATAAAAAAAAAAATAAATCCCATTATCTCTTTCATGCTCTTGTCTTCAGACAAAATATATTCCAATTGTGTAGGAGATGAGTTTCATTGTATACAGACTGAAGATGTCTGTTTTGTGTTGCCTGATATTTGGAATAATAGTTAACTGTCAGTTACCTATAAGTTTTGCATAAGACTAAATTCTTATGCGTTAATATTTTTTTTACCCCCGTACTTGAAATTGTGAATTATGGAATCTTAATACTGTATATTCTAGGTTCTTTGGGTTTTCTGGGGTTTGGTGGGGTTCTTTTTGGTGCCTTTAGCATTGTGAATTAGAGTGCTAAGGGAGGATTTCTGTAAATGACCTTATTCACTTCATGGCCTTGACTTTTATTTTTAGTACTGTCCAGTTTTTACAGTAATCTGTAAGGCATGTTTGGGGAAAATAGCATGAATCCATGCATGTAAAATCCATCTTACTATTTACATTCATAAAGGGTTCTAAGTGAAGGCTGCTAGCTGGCCAGTAGATGTCTTTGCAGCCATTCTTTTAATACAGTTTTTGGAGAGTAATGAAAAGAGATTTTTCAGATGTGGTATCAGTATAATATCTTTGGTGTGATTTGTGTGTTTTTGTTTTTTTGGGTGTTTTTTTTTTTTGGTATAGGCTAATTTATGAGATGCAGCCTTTTATTCAGGTGTAAGCTGCCTAAGTGTGTTAAATGCTAAAACTGTAAAGGTTGAGCATTTATTATCAAGGCACTTAGTTGTCTACTTTCTATGTTTTTTACCCTCTTATTAAATTACATCTTAAATATTAGAAAAATTATACTAGTTTTTAATTTTATAAAATGTTTAATGTAGTGAGAAAAATGTAGTGGATTATACCAAACTATCTCCTTTGTACTTTCTTTAACGTGATATCTTCATTGTATTGGCTGTACATAATTGGATTTTTCTGAGTAGCGGCGTAGGGTTGCAAACCCCTGCTTTAGCAGTTCATTTAGTCAATCCTTTAAACCTGGCAATGAGAAATCTGCCAAGTCCTGAAGAGAAGCCTCACCTGCCACCTCAGGATATACCTACACCAGGACACAAGTATTTCACTCCAGTCAGCAATAACTTTCTTCAGATGCCTGCCAGTCATTGCCAGACTGACGTGAAGAAACCAGTTAGTGAGGTCAAACAGCAGAAGGAGGTTTCTTCCAGGGAGATAAGTCTTAGGTCTCTGATGAAGTTTCAGTACTACTAAAGGAATTCAGTTCAGTTAGCAAGCCAATTAAAAAAGCAACAGATCCTGATCCGCTTACTTGTGATAGAAATACATTGGTCTTTTTAAATCCAGTTAGGAGTACCTGTGTTGAGTAGCAGGATCTGGCTCTTAGGCTATCTACGGCTGCATTGCAAAAAACAAAATGCAAGTAGATGCTGTAGACCAAATAACTGCTACTTGCGTAGGAACTAAACAAGTTCTTGCATCTCTTTTGTAGTTGCTTTGTTATTACATGGATATATTTACCTTTTAATAGCTTTTCTGTTACACTTCATACTTACCGTGGACTACCTTGGTTATGAAAGGTGCAGTATGGTGGTGGTCTAAAAGACATAGCTGTGTAGCCAAGCAAGTATCTGAATATAAGCTGTGTAATGCCATATGAATGCCGTGTTTTTATGAATGGTAACCTGGGCTATACAGTTGAATCCATTGTATTAATGTCTACTGAAGATCACTGTATATTTTGAGGAGAGCTGTGGGAACTAGGTTTTTATTATTCTTTTTGGCTTTATCACAGCTTTTTATGTGACTCCTCACTTGTATTCAAAATTAGTAATGTGTATTTCAGAGATGTTGTGAGACTTAAATTCTATGTTTGTGCAAGACTTTATTTTCCTTCAGTAAGAGGTGTTTTAAGTGCAAAATATTTGTGCAATACGTACTTCAAATTAGTTTGTGATACAACCTGTGGTCTTTTTACTTATTTTTTGTTTCTTACTATTGTGGGATTAGTTTCTTCCTTTTATTTTTTCCCCTCAAGTACAAATGCTGTTTGGTGTATTTTGTGGCATCTTTTGGATGCCTGCTGGGTCAGTGTTAAGCAGCTAAAGTATTAATTTTGGTCTTAGTAGCATGTAGTACCAAATGTAAACAGTGCAATCTTCACTTGCTTTTTAGTATTTGGGCGAATCAGAATTGAACTGATAACAGAAGTCTTTGTTCAAATTACTGTAAATATAGTTCAATGAAGTTTATATTAGTAGCTGGATTGTTTCAATTTTAAACTGTGGATGATTTTTCTGTAGGTAAGTAAAATTCTCAAGTCATTCTTAATATTTGTAGAACGATATAGACGCAAGCAAACCTGCCCCAGTACTGAATACATCTAAGCAGGATGGACCGATGCCAAAACCACATAGCGTTTCACTTAATGATACTGAAACAAGGAAGCTAGTGGAGGAGTGCAAAAGACTTCAAGCAGAGATTATGAAGCTGACGGATGAAAATCGGCACCTGAGAGTAAGTTCTGCTTCCATGTTTGTATTGAAGTGGCTTCACTCTTCTTGATTGAAAGGTCAGGTTTGTAATTAGGCCAATAGATGTGTATTCCAGAAAGTAAATACGACTATTAGAATGTCAAGATTGATTTGCAATACGATTTTACTGTCCTTTATATACTGTATATTTTTAACTTCTTGGTGATTGAGACTTTGTGGTTGTCATGGATGAGATACTGAAGCTACATAATTTTCTTCTTAAATGAAATGGTTGTATTTAAGGTAGTCTTAGTTGCTTTAAGTCTAAATCAGAGCTACCGAATTAGTAGCTGTTATTAAAAGTGCATTGTTATTCATTAAGAATGAGTAAAGGAGATCCAAAGTGGTAACACTCTGTATCACAAATTGTTAGTGAACAAGAACAATTGTTTGGCCAGAGGGGGTAAGCAAGCACTAGTTTCCAGTACCTTTATGTAAAGGTGCCATTTCAGTAACCTGTAAGTAGTCAATATATGACTATGTGACTTTTCTATATATTTGCTTTTGGGTACTTGACTATTTCATTGGCCCTGGTAGCCTTTTAAAGAACCGTGAAATAATGATGTCTCCAGTCCTGTAATTCTGATGACATTGGAGCATTAGGAGAAACACTACACAAAGCAGACGTTTCTCCTTCACAATAAGGAATTACTGCTACTTAATTCTGACACGTACCAAGTAAAAGCAGGATTCTTCACTGTGCCTAGCAATAATTTCAGAATCTTTCTTAACCAGAGCATGGAGAGAGACTAGTGGATTAGCTGTCCTTATTTGAAATATTATGGTTTGCTATGTTTTTATTTTGGATTTTGGTGTGGTGTAATGTTATTTTTTTAACTTTATTTAAATGTTCAGTAGTAAATTTGGCCTTTGAGTGCAGTTTTTGCAACTGTAAGAAGATGCATTCATAATTTTTTTTCCATCTGTGTTTTTTTTCCCCTTCAGGATGAAGGCTTGAGGCTCAGAAAGGTAGCGCACTCAGATAAATCTGGATCACCTACAGCTTTGGCCCTCAGAGATAATGGCTCTAATTCTCTTCCTTCACTTCTTGTTGTAATTGCAGCCATTTTCATTGGATTCTTTCTAGGGAAGTTCATCTTGTAGAAAGAATGAGTGAGAGAAGCATGCAAAATGCAGCTTCCTTTTTTTTTTTTTTTCTTGGCCAGAAAAAGATTTGTTTACCTACCACTTCATTGGTAGTATGGCCCAAGTGGCCATTTTTGTGTACAGCATCATAACAGGCTTTGCCTTTAATGATCTCGCACGGTTAGAAAACACAATCTGAAAAGACAAACTGTTCGGCTACTGGACAAAATTGTACATTAAGTCATCAATAGCAGGTGTCAGTTGCACAGTCAGTCCTTTATGAAAATTCATAAATAAAGAATTGTTCTTTCTTTCTGTGGTTTTAATAAGAATTCAAAAATTGTTCAGAGTCTTGTAAATGTTATTTTAATAATCCTTTAAAATTTTATCTGTTGCTGTTACCTCTTGAAAAATGATTTATTAGATTGCTAATCCCACTCATTCAGGAATATGACAAGAGGTATTCTGGGGGAAATGGTGCCTCTTACTGTGTAAATTTTCTCCTTACCTTACTTTGCTAATATCATGGCAGAATTTCTTTCTTATCCCTCGTGAGGCATTGTTGAGAGTTCTTCATCCTTACAATCCTGTCCCATAATATTTAACATTACAAAAGAAATAAAATTGTTAACAGATTTTTCTGCTGGGTAGCCTGTTTGTGTGTGTCGTACTTTTAGAAGGGATTCCTAACAAGTTCATTGTTCATGGTAATTTGCTACATGTAACAAATGGCTATTTTTGAAGTTTATTTGCTTAAGTCTCTGGCTTAGACTGTTGTAATTGGAAGTTTTTGGGGAAAAAAAAAAAAGGTTTCCATTCCGTTTGTTTAAAAAAAATGAACTGTTTTCTGGCTGCTTTCAGCTACAGAGAAGATGGTTATCAAACTTGTTTTGGGACAGAATAATTTGGATATCCAGCAGGTACAAATATCAGACATGAATGTTTTCAATATATTAACAATTTGCTTGGATTGTGCAGGAGTGTAATAATCAACCTTCTGTTCCATCTTTGGATCTTCTGGGTGTCTTCCAGGAGTCAACATTATTCTTTGATTTCATAAGGGTACTTAATTCACATACACTAACTTAACTCGGTTAGTAATGTCTGTTTTAGCAGATATTAAAAAATACAATTTGAATGATTCAGACACCCATAGTGAATTCCATGATGCAGAAGAGTTGATATTTGCCGAGTGAGCCTCAGTTGCTCACGTTTTGAAAATGAAAGTCATTTTTATGCAACTCTTGGCAGATCTACCTGTGTTAACCATGTATAGCTAAGTTTTAAAGAATGCATTTTTTGGGGGTCTGAACTGCTTCCCTGCACTTAATCTAAAGTCTTGCCTCATCTCTGAATATGTCATAGAAACAAACAGTAGTATTGGAACAAAATATTATCTGTACTTCTGACTAAGCATAATCCCACACAGGGAATTACTTGTAAACTGAAAAATTGCGGAAGGGATATACTCCTGTAAGCAAAATTGTATATGTTCTTGGACAGCTTGACTTGATGTGGTGCAGCTAAGTGTGTTAGACCTTGGTATATGCACATCTTACGTACCTGAGAAAAATGTTCTGGAGAAGATGTACGTTATCTTGGTTGCCTTTGATTTCTAGTGCTTTTTTTAAAAAAAAAAAAACTATAATTACATCATGTTCTGTCATTGCTCTCTGTGATAAACTTTTTTTATAAAATCTTGCATATGTGCAAGGAAGATGATGAAGAAAATGCAAATACTGCTTATCTTTTCACTTAAGCATGCAAGCACAGATGTTTCCAATCACTTGTTCCAGTGTCTGCATTCAAGTCTCCTTCCATCCCAGTGACTGGAAAAACTATGTTAAGGTCTTGATTATTTTGGTTCCGCTGGTTCAGAATGGTGTAATTCTCCCAATATTTTTTTTTTTTCTCTAACAGAACATAGCCACATCAAACTTTCATAGCCTGTTCCAAACTGATTACATGGAAAATAACGAAAGCAATAGTGTGCAGGATGTAGTTTGCTTCAGACAGAGCAGTCATTCCTGCGTTGAAGGGAAAAAAAAAAAAATCCTCTGGAAGATCTTAAAATGTTTACAGCAGGGTGTATGGAGATTTTCAAGGGTAGCTAGCACTTTCAGGACTAAGGTAAAAATAGTAAAATCAGATTGAAATAACTTTTTCTAATAAATAACAAACAGGTGGTGGTAAAACTTGGTCATGGTTTAAGTAATGTCTTCAAAGTGAAAGTGTGCAGCGGTCTCGTAACCAATGTACTTACTAATGGTATAAGGAGACTGTCTTGGTTTCCAGTAATCCCTTCTTAGCTGTATATAAAATGTAATGCTAAAACTATTTTGCTCTCAGGAGTCACTTTGGATGAGATCAACTGTATTCAGTGAATTATGTAATATGGATTAAATTGTTTGTCTTTGTTCCTGAAATGGTTAGAACTTCTTGCTTTGTCTGCCTGCTTACTTGTGTATGTAAGCACGGGGAAATACAGTCTCTCCACTGCTCCTAGTGATACGATCAGACAATGATGCCCATAAAGTTGTGTGAGGCTAAATGTGTAACTTCAGTTAAATATGCATTGCAGATTGCTCTTCTGATTTCTCAAAAGGGCAAGATGGAACAAGTATACAGTATCAAAGTGGTATTTTAAAGTTTTTATGAATATAGCACTTTAAAAAAGGATAATATGATGGTTCAGGGAAAAAAAAAAGGCTAGTTAAATAGAAGATAGAGCTTCTGCAGTAATTCTGGGCACCAAATTTAAGCCACTTAAAAAATATATATATGTGAAGTTCACTTAAGAAAAAGTTATTTGTATCACTGCACAATTTATTTGTGCACTTGTCATTCTCTAAAAGCTGTTGACAAACACTGTTGCCCAGGCTTGCATGTTTCTGCTGCTATGGTTGAAGCCAATTTACACATAAGATGCAACCAAACACTAGCTTGAAATTTCATTATTCTCTTCGGAGGAGAGAGGGTGGAGGGAGGAGGTGGAAGGTGACATTTTGCCAAAGGGGAAAAGACAAAGTCAATAAGCAAAACTTATCTTTCAGGCCTTCTTCAAAGATATTAAAAGTTGAAGTGTTAATAAACCATCAAAAATGTGGTAGTGTCCTTTTTATTTTGGAACTTCTCTGTGACTATGTACATTCTGTAGACTCCTGATAGTGAATAGATGTGTCTAGTCCACCTTGCAGGCGGTGTAACTGCCCTGCTTCTAGGTACGGCTAGTAAACAGCGTGAAGCTGGCGTGGATGAACATTCAGTGTTGGAATGAAGAGCAGGTACCTGTACGCAGGCAGCGCTGAGTACGCTGATGGTTCGTCAGCCTTATAATGGTCATCGTGACAAAGAGTTTTCTTTTTCCTGTTTGGAGTCTCTAGGCATACATGCTTGAACTGACTTGCCACAGCAAACACTTGCTTCAGGCTGTGGCAAAAGATGGAATGAGAGCTACACAGTTACGGGCCAACCCTAATCAACATTCACTGTAATACTGAAACGCCCTGCTCTTTGTTTTTACGGGTGGGATGAAATTCTGCAGCTCGTCTTTTTAACCATGTTGCTGTGAACATAGAAAGCAAAGCGGTGAACTGCTATGCTGGTTCCCATTGAATGGCTCTGCGGGGTGTGCCCTGGAAGGCATATCCATGTGCAGCACTGACCGCTGCTGCCAGGGAGGCTCTGTCTTTGCTGATCTTGAGCTTCTGTGGTGGCTTTAGTCTGGTGGCATGCTTTAATGTTGGACAAGAGGGGAGGCTAAATACAGGAATCGGTTTTCACAGGGGTTTGAGCTCCTGTAGGAAGGACTGAAATTAATGATGATTAAATTAGACCGATTTCTTTTTCCTGTCTGAACTGCTCTTTCAGGGCCACTCAAATAATGTGAACAAGTATATGATCGAAGTTAGTCTGTTGTGTTTTTCTTTTTGAATGAAGGTTGCATATGTTTAAGAAAAAATCCCATTTCTGATAGGACTGTGTAAACAGAGGTAGTGATGATGTTGTCACCTTTATGTATTTGCCCTCTAGATGACAAATAGCTATGTAGAAATGAGGTCTTGTGCAAAAGCAAAACAATTGATTATCTTTTATCTGGCT